CTGTGTGATATCCCCATGAAGGCTGCCTTTGCTCTGTCCACCCCGCTAAAACATCTGGGCCTCACCAAGATGAATATCAACTCCAGGCGTTTCTCACTGTGTTAAAGACCGCAGGCCTCACTCGCGCCACCGAGGACGCTCCGTCACCTCCTCTGTGTTCGTGTAGGCATTATTGTTATAAAGGGTTGTTTCCGTTGATGGCGCAGTGGGGCAAAAGTAAAGCTGAGCCACTAGCAGCTGTGAATGAAAATGAAAACGATGATGACTTTGATGCGTGCCTTGGTATGACATGCATGAGGAAGCCTGTGCATACAGACCTGCAGGGGCATACACCTTTATCATCGCGCAGCTTCCTGCTGGATGAGGTCTGGGCAGCTCTGCTGTTGACTGAGAGAATTAAGAGCTAGACTGAAGTATACTCAGTGAACTGAGTATATTTTTAATATCAGAAACCAAGGTGATTTGGTGATGCAAATTCATATTTAACAAAGAAGTTTAAGCGGGACAATAACTCATTTATACATCTGTTTATATTCTTGGACTCTGCAGGAGTGCAGTAGAAAGTCACATTTCAAATATGCCTTATTTACCTTCTACTGACTTCACTCCACCCACTGTTAGAAACGAGCTCCTCGAAGCCACCTTTATTGTGATTGGCTGCCCCTCTTGAGAAGAGGTGAGGCGATTTTGTTGAGGTTATCCCCTCTTATTGAGGTCATTAGAAAAAACTGTCGGAAACTGTGTTTGGAGCAGCCTGTGCCTGAGCTTTTGGCTCACGGGGATTACTTTGCATACACTGACCTCATTATTGGGAACTTAATTCATGTTTAATATGACTGTTCTCCATTGTAATGTGCCTAGAACAGATATAACTTATATATACGGTGATTAACACATGCATTAGAGTATGCCTTCGAAAATTACCAAATTAATTTTTATGCTTCTGAAATCTGTCAGCACGTGCAGGCGCTTTAATCAAATTTATATTTGCAATGAAAATAAAATAAAAAATATAATTAATGTTATCTGAGAATTACAGTCATTTACTTGCATTCCTGAACAGAAGCAACAATTTGCCTGATAAAAAACAAAAGATAATCTTCTTCTTCTTCTTCTTCTTTTTTTTAACAGATTTCTAAATCATTTCTGATCTAATTCATTTGACAGGGTTAATGAATGAACATGTTCAGGTCACACTACTTTACATCACCTCAGAAATTATGCTGCCAGCCTAAATAGGTCTTGGAACAAAAGTGAGATTTTACAATTTAGAAAATGAAATAAAGACAAAACATAACCAAAATGACATATTTCCCCTGTGGCCTGCAGTGCTACTCATGCTACTCATCTCTCTGGGTTGGTTTGGGTTGGCTGTGAGTTTCTCACTTTGCCTGGCTTCTCTTGAATAAAATGGAATCTAATAGCTTTCCCCTAAAATACATTTAAATACGTCAGCAGCAACGTCTCTTCTCTGAAATCATGACTCAAGTTTTATTTTTAATCTACCGTGATCTGCCATGTGAGGACTGCAGTTAAGTAAGGTTAAAGCCTCTTTACTTCTTACATGCCATCATGCTTTTACAAGCATCATGATTAGATAGATGATGTTCACGCCTGCAGATGACTTCTGAAAAGAGTCAAATGTATTCCCATCAAATATATTTTTCGGCACTTTGAATGTCAAGTAAGATTTAGGCAAAGCCATTAACGACCCCTTTAAAAGGTCACGAGCCAAAAAGTTTGGGGGAAACACAGCTTTACTGAAACTGAAGCATGAAGGCAGCTGCTCCTGTCTGGTCTGGCCCGATGCTGAAATGCTCAGCAACACGTTGAAGTAAACAAAGTCCTTTAATGCAGACACTTACAGCAGCCACAGGCAGGTCACACTCCAGCATTTTTACACCTCTTCTTCACAAACCAAAAATATCTCTGCAACCCAGCTGCAGTGACACAAACCAGGAGCTCGTGTCCGATGTTCTTTGTTTTTCGTTAGCACGTCAGGATGCTGCAGAGCACTGATTTTAGACTAAATGTGGCTGGCCAGTGACCAAGTGTATTTTATGTTTTAAATGATTTTCTTTTTAGTTTAGTTTCTTAAAGAATGAATGAATTTAACTTTGGTTGCATTAAAAGTGTAAAACATCTATTAA